CTGTTTCCACGGCCTGGGCCTGCACTGTGTCGCTGGGGGCTTTCCCTGTGGAAGTTCTAAAGTCACTCATCCATCCATTTGTGTGTGCATCCATCCGTTCCTCCACCCAGCCATCCATCTGCATGTCCATCCATCCATCCATCCACCCACCCACCCATCCATCCACGTGTCCATCTGTCCATCCACCCACCCACCCATCCATCCACGTGTCCATCCGTCCATCCATCCATCCATCCATCCTTCCCACCTTCCTTCCTTCCATCCATCCATCCATCCATCCATCCTTCTACTCATCCATCCACGTGTCCATCTGTCCATCCACCCACCCACCCATCCATCCATGTGTCCATCTGTCCATCCATCCATCCATCCTTCTGCTCATCCATTCATCCATCCACGTGTCCATCCACATATCCATCCATCTATCCTTCCATTCTTACATCCATCACTCAGTGAACCTTTGCTGCTAGGAGCTAGTCTGAGTGGCCTCCCACCGGTTTACTGCTGAGATGAGACCGATGATGAGTATGTAACTACAGGTCCAGCAGAGCCAGGTAAAAACAGGAACCACCCCCCTCCCAGCAAATGGAGCAGGCAAGACCTTCGGAGGAGGTTGAAGGGAAGGAGGAGATACTCCTCTAGGAAAACAGCTTCTAAAAACGAAGACAGTGATTCATAAGCAAAGAGGTCCTTGGTTACACAGGATCTCCTGCCTGGTGAAAAAGGCTGGTCACGACCCTGCGTCACAGAGGTGACCCTGAAGGGGTGGTGGGGCTGAAGAATTAGGTGGGACTTCCAGTTTCCATGTTCATGCATTTCTGCACTGTGTGCATTTTCAGCACACTTCTGAGAAAAAAAGGGGAAGCGGGACGTGTACTCACAGCCATCGTAGCCGGGGTCTTGCACCCCTTAGAGGCAGCCACAGCCCCCAGGAGAATCCAGCAGGGGAATCTGAGTGGGCGGGCTGGCAGGGCTGAGCTGCTCAGTGGCCCCAGGGAGAGCTGGGCGGGGAGTGCCTGTGTTACCAGGGAACACCTCTGGGGGGCAGCAGAGGCCGCAGAACAGCCTCAGCACGTGGAGCAGGGATAGGGCTGAATCCAGTGTGCTCGGAGGAACCAAGGAGCCCTGTCTTCCTCCTCCTCCCCCCCCCTCCCCGCTGAGAAGAGGGCCTCCTCCTTCCCTCCAGCCCTTCCCACCCCCACCCGCCCTTGGGCAGGGCTGGCCTCCAGCTGCCACGCAGAGACCCTGCATCTTCCCTGGAGCCCAGGAGCCAGTTCTTTCCTCTTCCTCTCTGTCTCCTCCCCATCTCTCTCCCCCCGCCCCACCCCTCCCCCTCTCTCCCCACTCCACCTCTCCCCCTCCCCACCCCGCCCCTCCCCCC